TTTATTTTACCCTGATCTAGTGATCAGCTCTTTGGTTCTGAATTAGAAGCTGTTCTTGAATGGACTACTAATAGGAAAAAGTCCTTTCCGGAGGAGAAGCAGGCTTTTCAATAGCTTTTTTTTTTCTTTGTAGCCAGAGCATGCATCCTGAGGATAATCGGGAAGATAAGACTTAAAGCAATGGACAGGCCAGAAGTGCAAGGGAGAATGGAGGGATTTTCTTTTAAAAATCCACCCACTCAAACCTCTAAGTCCCAATGATGCTCTCCTTCCACTGGGATGAGGATTCCTTCCTCAATGGAGATTGATCTCCAACGCATTCATCTTGGGGATTATAGAGCTGGTGTATTGGCTAGAGTTCCACAATCCCCCCTGGATCTACAGGATGCCTACCTATATTCCCTTAAGCGAATCTTCTCAGAAGTATGTATGGTTTGCAGTGAGGACCGGATCCATAATTCATCACTTCCAGTTCAGAGCCCTTCCCTTCGGCCTATTCCCCATCTAGACAATCTGTTGTTTGCAGCTTCATCCCAAGACCAGCTGGCAGAATATCTGAGCTTTTACCCAGGAATGGTTGCAGAGATTGGGGTGGTTGATCAAAGTGTTGACGGCCAACTCTCAGGTGGTAACTCTTCTGTGATATGTCATGAGCAAAGTGGAAAAGATGCATCTTAAGAAGATTCACACGATTTGCTATGGTTAACAGTTTCAGGGAAAGTACTTTGTTTTCATAAGATTAATCATGTCAGCAGTGGGCCTGATGTCAATATGCTTCTGTGCAGTCCAGTGGGCCCACTTCTATCAGAGACCGCTTCATAGTTTTTTTTTTTTTGTTGTGTTTTTTTCTGAGGGTCTGGGATCGAATGTAGGAATCCCTAGACACAGTTGTTAATTTTCCTGTGAGGGTGAATTCAGTGGTGGTGGAAGAGAATATAGCCATATTTTGTAGGGTCTTCTATTGACTTTTCCTTCCTCCAAGAAGTTGACCACAAACACTCTGTTCGGGCTTCTCTTGGCTACAGCTTTTCAGACAATTGGATTGTCTTTGGCCTTCATGAGGCACCTCACAAGTGGCTCCCTGCATCGCGTTTCACCAGATCGAGGTGGTTTAGACAGGTAATAGTGCATGCCTATTCTGTGAATGGAAAGGCTCTGCCTTTTCCTGTGAAGGCATACTCGACTAGGTTGGTTTATGTATCTTGGGTGCGAAGGCATCAAAAGTTTGTTGCAGATATACTTGGCTGCTGCTTGGTTTTCAGGTAATTAAGTTGTACCATAATGTTTGTGCATCTGCTGATGCTAATTTTGGTCCTAAGGTGGTACAAGCTGCTTTCTGAAGTTGCGTTAACACTTGATTTCTGTTATCTAGGCTTGTTGCTGTGTTGCCCCCACCCCACTATTGCTTGGGGATGTCTAAGTTGTCTTTGAATCTGCCTATCTTATACTGTGAAATTAAGGAAATTTAGATTTATCAGTATAGTCCACTTCTTAAGGTGCCCATATCTGGCGATCGTACGATAATCGCAAGGTGTATGGAAGGCGTGCAACCGTTTTTACTGTACGGTCGCACGTCTTTTTGTCGAACCAGCATACTAGAAAACCTGCTGAGAATTGTACGATTCTCGGCCGGTTTCTAGCCTGCTCATTCAACAACCGCGGAACGGGCGTTGAGCATTGCGGTCAGCGGGGCGTGCTTTCGATGATCGCAAGTACGATCTGCCTATCCAAGATGGGCAGATCGTATGAGCTTTTAATCTTACGACCATCGCAAGACAAGTCTTGCGATGGTCGTGAGGTGTATGGGGACCTTTAGAGTACAGTACGAGACACAGGACCCTCTGTCCTCTATTGCTTGCTTTTAAACTGAGGATTTCTTGGGAGTGGGAGGGTTGATGGAGGTACTCACAGTTCTGCCAGTGTCCAATCACCTGATTACCTATTAACTTTTTGTCTTCGAATCTGCCTGTACCCTGTATTGTACTCCAAAAAATAGATTTTACTGGTAGTTTGAAAATCTGTTTAGTGCCACTTCCCAAAAGCAGCTGTTAAAATTGTGGCGCAGATGTGCTGTAAACATAATCTCTGCAATATGTTCGCTCTCCCATGTTTAATCATTTTAAAAACCCTGTGAGTACAGAAAATACATGTTAATCTATGTTATGGAAATTCGCTTGGTTCAACGCACAAATCCATGCCGCACTAAACTGCGCCAAAGTACGTCAAACGCAAAGAATTTCCCCCGTGCTTAAAAGCACAGTTGTATTACGCTCTTTTGTGCGAGGACTGGAAGTACCTCTGTAGAGTCATGTAGATTTAGGACACAGGAGACAGGTGTTGCTTGCTTGCGAGTTCCATGCTTATAAAAGAATAAATACCTGTGCTGATTCTCTATCTGCCCAAGGAAGTGATCTCACACAGCAAACCAGGAAATTATTTTAAACAGGAAGTGATGTCAATCAGCAAACCAGGAAGTTATGTTAACAACCAACATCACTTCCTCAATACATAGCCAGTCAACAAAGCACATTAATACAATAATCTATTACCACCGGAGTGAACTTTATCCAGCATTGCTCAGTGATCAATGCCCAAAAATGTTACTATGATTCTCATGCATGCTTATTTACAGGGACAACGTCATATCTCCAGCGGTTGATCAGGCGCACTAGAGACCACAAACGCACGTTCCTTTCATATACTGCGTTCAAAACAAATGCATCCAAGCAGGCCAATAAATCCATGCATTGCACGGGGGCCCCAGCCGGCGTCCATACATTCGCCAAGAAGACACTGCTCTGCCACGCATAAGATATCTACTCCAATTGTTTACTCTTAGTGGGGATTTAAACCGGGTCATGCTCCAATTGGGTGTGACGCAGCAAACCCTGACACGGAGAGACATAATGACAAAATATTACTATACACTAAACACACATCCTAATAAAAATTTCCACAACATCTACCAGAAATGCACTTGCAAGTTCTGTTCCGATCTGAGAAAGCACAGCTTTTTTTTGTCGACTGAATGCTGTTAGCTCTGCCCAACCCTCTTTTACTAAACCATTTAAGCCCTCCCACACGTATATTTCTACAACTTTTCTGTTATCCCATATAAGATCAACCCTTTATGTCCCAGGAAATGTTCAACAGTATTTTTTTTTACACCTATTGAACAGATCAACACCTATCAGCCATAACATCACCACCTGCCTAATATTAAGTAGGTCCTCTTTTGTGGATAAAACAGCCCTGTCCCATTGGGACATGAACTCCACTAGACCTCCGCAGGTATGCTGTGGTATCTGGCACCAAGTCGTCAGTAACCCTTTACCATGTAAAAAACATTTTTTGGCCAACTGTCTGCTTTACACTGGAAGTGACAGCTGCAAGATAGCTTCCGGGTGCCTGTAAACAGTGGCCCCGCTTGACACCCCCTGCCTTACTTTCAAGGATCCCCTGCCTCTTCTACATGCCTGGCAGCATGCGTGTTGGCAGGGAGAGATACCTATTTGCCCATATACCTCTTCACTTGGGTGATTGAGGACTGCGCTATGGGGGCCCACACGAAGTGCAGAGACCGAGTACTCACCGTGTACCTGGAACAAGTGCTAAGGTGTTCTGCAACCACTAGGAGTTTTCAGGGTCGCTCCTCCGATGCCCACGTGAGCCTGGGGGTTCTCCACCGTCCAAAGCAATGTATCCGGGCGGCAGAACCCCCCGCTGCTGTCTGATCTCCATTTGTGGGTGAAGGATGGGCGTGGGGGGGGGGGCGAGGGAGGAGAAGAAAAGGGTACGCTGAATGTGTCCATTACATTCATTTTAATAATTTTAAGAACTTTTCTTTTAAACTTTAATTGCTATCCCCCTATGTGATAGCATTTTGGCTTTCTGAAGTGTGTGTGTGGCCTAACACATCTGGGGATTGGTGTGCTGCAATATATAAAACTTTAAAGCAGTTCTCCATGAATTTTAAAAATTAAACCTTGTGGTGGGGTTACTCTGTACTGCAAGGGTTTACTGCTCATTTTCATCTAGAGGACTGAACAAAGAAGAAATGCCTGATCCTTGCCACCGCCTTGCTACTAGAACAGTCCCTGCTGCCTCAATGTGATGGCACATTGGAGGTGACCCAGTTCTCTTTAAGGTGACATTTAGGGGTCTTTTAGACCACTGGTGTCACTCTACCACTTCACCGGATTCAGCTGCTGAGGCAGCTGAATGTCAGCACAGCAGGCAGTGGTTTGGAGCTATACCCAGCCTGTTATTTTAAATTGCAATAGCCAATAGCAGGCTGGCTATTGCACCTGCCCACTGCCTGCTGTCAATCAGCAGAGGAGTGAACTGAAGGAGTAAGTTCTCCTTTAGGTCTTCCTCTGCTGATTGACAGCAGGCAGTGGGCGGGTGCAATAGCCAGCATTGTTTCCAGCCTCTGATGGGAGACTTGACACCGGTGTTCTATCCGAGGGATTAATAGAACACTGGCAGAAGAGGGGGCATGGGGGAGCAGCGGAGGAGGATGAATGGGGTGGTCCGTGGAGGAGTAACGACTGGGGGTGCTCCATTTGAGGTACGGGGGTGGTGGGGGATAACGGGCGATTGCAGAGTCATCGCAGTCTCTTCTCCCCGCTGGTGCTGGCTGCAGTTGTCTCTGTCCCCAGTGCCTCTGCTGATACAGGCAGGGAGAGCAGCAGGGATTGAGTGGGACACAGACCGCTGCAGACAGCACCAGCGTGGAGGAGCAGAATGGTGGCAACTGATCGAAAAGCAACTAATGGATCGAGAATCGTTTCCAATGATTCTCATTATTGATTATAATCTATTTAATCGATAACTTGTTGCGGCCCTAGTTATTTCACCTGCGTTCAAGTGATCCATGCTTGTGACCAGCCAGTATGTGCTGACCTTGCATCAGTCTTCTACAGTCATCTGATGACTCTTGTAGTTTCTATGCACCTATTAAATATAAATTATGATGCATATTCCTTTTCTCTTTCAAGCGTATGAAGGCAGAAAAAGCAGAAATAACCCGTTTTTTACAGAAATCTAAGAACTCTGACACTCCAAAGGTAAGCTAATTAGTTATTCTGTTTTTTTAGGCATCTCAGAGGTTGTCTTAATAATGTTTTTACTGAAAGGCCAGCCAGCCTCATTAAAGGCTAAGTGTACTTTTAAACGTAGTACACGTAACCTTTAGACCCCCTTATGCTGACATCACAGCTCCATCCCCTCCCTATGAAGAAATGCACACTTGCCAAGTTCCGATGACTCGGCCTCCTGTTTGTTTACATCATGCAGCTGCTGTCTCGACATTACTTAGCCTGCAAGAAAGGCTGTGTTGCCATCCCACAACAGGACTTGAGTATAGTGCATTTCTGAAGGATTAACAGGTATTTGTACTTGCACGGTATTTAAACAAGTAAAGCACATTGAAATGCTAGTCTTGCAGAGATGTACAGTTTTTTTCTTCCCCTTTTTAATCTAACTTAAAAGTCAAAAAGCAGCTGAAAGCATGGTAGTTTGTTGTATGTAGCTGAGGGGGAAAAAACCCTCTACTGTAGCATGGGATAATGTCAAGATAAAGATCTTCCACAACTAAAAACTGTTAAAATGTTTAAAAAAAAAAAAAAGCTATTTATCTATAACCTAATGTTATAGACCGTAGTAATATATGTAAAGACAACGAGGAAGCCCGGAGCCCAGATTTAAGTGCGGTAGAAAAGTATCAGTTAAGTAAAGGTAAAAAGTAGGGAAGCGCCTATACCAGTTTTCCGGTTAAGCATACGGATGTTGTTGTTTTTTTCCCCATTGGTATTCGCCAATACTGATTACCGATACCGGCATCCCAAGGTAGTGGGGGGCCTGGCTTCATATAGCTGGACGGCCGGTATATCGAAAGCACACCGGCTTCACGCTTCCTTGCAACACTGCGAGGCAGCTTGGCTTTCTGATTGGTAGAAAGAAGAGGACATTACATCTAGACACCTTAACAGATGAACATAGGAGATTGGTAAATAAACGACAGATTAAGGAACATGTATTTGATTTTTATGTTCAGTGTTTACAAATTAATTCCAAAAAGATTTAATAGCTGTAACGGTAACAATGTACTGGAGGTAAAATTCGTATCTTACGTTATTTCTGCCACAGGATAGGCTAGAGATAATGTAAATAAATCACCGGGTCCAGATGACTTGCATTACTGCGTGTCCTTAGTGAACTTGGCTTTGTTATAGACAAGCTAACGTTTCTAATATTCATAGACTCTTTAACTGTAATGGTACCAAGTAAAAAAATAAATAAATCTTGATGTATATTGGTAAGCTACAGACCAATCAGTCGAACATCTATGGTATGTAAAGTATTTGAGCAAATGGTAAGGAACCCTATTCAGAAATGTGCCTGTGATAAAGTAATCTTAATTACCAATCCGCATGTATTTTATGAAAGACCATTCCTGTCAGACCAACTGTTATGTTTTATGTGGAAGTAAGCAAGAAATTTAATGACGGCAAAAAAGTCAGGTTGTTTAAACATTTGTGAGGTACAGTACGAAGTTCCTTAGCAAAATCTAATCTATAAGATGTCTGTACATCATTCGGCAGTGTTTGCTTGGATGGGTCCAGAGAATAGTGATCAATTATTAATTCTCAATAGTCTAAAGTTGTGACCGGTGTTTATCAGGGTTTTGTCCTAAGGCCAGTTCTTTTTAACTTATTAATGATATTGAGGTTGGAATTAAGAGTTCAAATTCATGGTTTCCTGATAAAAATTATGTAGACAAATAAATTTGAAACGGGATGTAGCGACATTACATATGATAAAATATGTGGGTGACTCACCACTGCAACTCTGCTCAGCCGTGCAGCTGCTGTCTGTCAACTCTGATCCTGCTGCTCTCAAATGCCTTTTATTGGCCGAGGCAGCTGCATTGGAGGGGGCATAGACCGGCTATTGGAAAGGGCCGCAATGAGAGATGCCAGGACACAGAGCGGCACTGCTGGATGGGTCGTATTGGCTCTGAGATAGTGGGTGTGTGCAATAGCCAGTCAGGTATTGCAATTTGAAATAGATACTAGCAGACTGGTTATTGCACACACCCACTGTCTGCTGTGTTACCCTTCCCTGGAAAAATTACCCTAGGGTCACATTAAAGAGAATATGCCATCTCCAATATGCTATTACATAGGGGGCTTTTGAGCCCCCCATGTAATAATAAAGCTAACAAAAAAAAAATTAGGATTAAAAAAATTAAATGTAAATGAAATTTAAAAATACCAATACCAATGTGTGCATAGGAACGGAAACACAAAACCGGCACACCTACATACAGAAATGACGATTGTACTATACATGTTAGGTATGGTCGCGTGTGCCAGAGAGAGCCATGATTATCAATATTCACTAACTGTAAACTGAAACGGTCTTTTATATACAGTGCAGTTGCAAAAAAAGTGCATGGCTTTTTATTCTTAAGTAAACTTTTTAACCGTTCCATTTGTCTATTTTAGTTTAAATAAAAGATGGTATTTTTATTTTATCCGAATAATCAAATAAGCTAGCTAAATATGAAAATAAGTTAGTTGTAGCCCTAATGTCAATATTGAGAAATGTAAGGTCATGCACTTGGGTGTCAAAATATGCATTCAAAATACCCATTAGGAGGGCCTCCACTCAGCAAAGCTGGCCTCCCTACAATCGGCATAAATAAAAACTTCAGTGTGTTACTTTAGTGCAAAGTTTTTGTGCGGTTTTTAACATTCAGGATCACAATTGTTTTTAAGTTATCTCCCAGCCCCCCTGCAACAGCAAAAAAAAAACAAACGGGCTGGTTGGTTAGTGCCTGGTTTGTGATGGTTTGTGCCATTTAAATCATTTTATCTCCTGTAGTTTTCGAGAGTTATTAGCCATTTATTAAAGGTCACTCAGCCCCCTGCAACAGCCAAGACACAAAACTGGGCTAGCTGATTAGTGCTGGTTTGCGCTGCTAAACATTTTGTTTGTGCTGTTATAGTTCAGAACAGTTGGTTTTTATTTGGTGAAACCCCACCCACTTTGCACCCCATGTTAAATCTGAAAGAATAATACCATCTGTTAGGATTATGTTTGGGCTTTTTGTGCCAAACAAAATTTTGTGCAGCTTGATTTTATGAACTCCATTTACAGAGTTGAAGCATACTCACACTACACAGGTAGCAAGACAGGTTAATTTGGACTGACATCCCACCTTTGGGTTGATGATGACCTAGGATTCTGGGCAGCTGGTGAAACACAAGAAAGATTTCTGGAAGCAGAACGCTCGGCATTTCCACATGACCTTAAAAACTGTACACGAGAGTTAGCTGCTTGTAGTTCTCAATTACCGTTTGCTAAGTGCAGGTAGCAAAGGTTTTAGCTTGAGCTCAACCAGTTTTTTTTATGCACTTCCCATGGACATGGGAAGCTGATGTTTAATGAAGGCTTAGTCATTACTTTGATATGGATATCTTTTATGTTTTGGTTTACTTGTTCTTCATTTGTCATTGATTTTCATATTAACTTTATGATCTACAGTTTGTAAAATGATTTCTACTGCTTTAATATTTAGTATTTCTTTTTTGGCTGTAGCTATAATCATTCTTACCTCAAGTGATGTCAGTCCATAGTAACCTATCTTGCTACCTGTGTAGTGAGTATGCTTCAACCCTGTTAATGGAGGCCATAAAATTAAGCTGCACAAATTTTATTTTTTCGGCACAAAAAGACCAAACATAATCCTAACAAATGGTATTTAATTTTTTTTTCATCAAATAAAAACAAACGGTTATAAACCATAAAAAAAAACCTTCGGCACAAATAACATTTTTAGCAGCGCGGTCCAGCTCAAAATCCAGTACTAACAAGCTAGCATGGTTTCAGGTCTTTTGCATGTTGTAGGGGGGCTGGGTGATGTCATCTTAAAAAAACAAAATTAGGGCTGCAACAACTAATCAACATAATCGATTGACAAAGTTTGTCAACTTTTTCAATAATCGATTAATCGGCTTCCGATCAGTTGGCCATGTTCACAGCTCCACACACGCTGCGTGCCGCACCTCTTGCTATAGAGGACTACAAAACCCAGCAACAGTACATTTTTACAGCACAATGCAGAATACCGCCAGCTATAATGTACTATTGCTGGGATTTGTTGTGCTCCTCCATAGCTGGCGGTATTCTGCATTGCGCTGTATAATGTAATATTGCTGGGATTTGTAGTCATCTATAGCTGGTGCCATTCTGCATTGATTGCTGTATAATTTTAAACTTTCCATTTCACTATATTGCACACCACACTTTTTTTTTACTTCCACCGATCCAAAGATGGCTCCTGTGATGGACTACAATCTCAATACAAACTAGTAGTCCATCACTGGAGCCATTTTTTAAAATTTATTTTATTATTTAACCGATTAATCAAACTTAATAATGGGCTAACTAATCGATTTTGAAAATAATTGTTAGCTGCAGCTCTAAACAAAATTGCTATTATCTTAAAAATAAAAGCAGCACAAATGTTAATTTTTACAGCACAAACGTAGCACTAAAGAAATAGACTGGATTTTGTACTGGGGCCAGCTTCGCTGAGCTCCTCCGCTCAGAGAATCGGTGATGGAAAAGGATCTGAGGGTGCTTGCAGATAACTCAATAACATGCAATGTCAAGCTGCAGCCAACAAAGCTAGCCCAATACTCTTGTGTATTAACCACCTGCTGTCCGGCCGTTGTAATTAAACGGCCGGACAGCGGCTTCTTGGATGCCGGTGGGCGTTTTTAGATGTCTCGTGCCCGCCGATAGGCGGCGTGCACGAGCCGGAAATCTGCGTGGAATGTTAACAGCCAGTGATGGCTGGTTACATAGGAGTTTGGGCGTCTGTAGAGACCCCCCTATCGCTTGTAATATGCGGGCCTGCGGCCCCCTCCGTTGCAGCAGCTGCTGGCAATCCCGAGCTCCACTGTTCCCGGTTTGAGTCCGGGACAAGCACAGCAGCTCTGCGACCGGAGATCAGTACATGATCTCCGTTCGACCTCCTCATCCTCCTGAATGCAGGAAGTGATTTTGTATTGCATCACTTCCGCATTCCTCTTGTCACTCTCCGGTACAGAAGCCGGAGAGAAGCTGGTGAAAACAAATAAGAAAATTAAGTCGCATATAAAATCAATTAAAATCTTTTTTTTTTTAAGTTTCCCACCCATACATACACTCTTGCAAACATGCGTCTGGTGCGCTTGGGTATAAAAGACGATTGCGCCCATTACGCCGCACGAGTTACATATTGCCGCCAACGTCGCAGTGAGAGCAATAATTTGAGGGCCATTAATCACTGATTAAAAGCTTTTACGGCTCATCAGTTTAGCGTTAAGTGTCGCCCATGGTCACTTTTGGGTATGGTAGTTTTTTGCAATTTCTCAGGTGCGCGCAATTTTAAATCTTGATATGTTTGGTGTCTATTTACCCAACGTGACCCCGTCTTTTATATTTTATCAAAAAGTTGAGTAATTGTTTCCTAACATAATGGAAAAAAACTTTTTTACCCACATTTTCAGTAATTTAATATTGTAAAAAATAAAAACCGCAGTGGTGATTAAATACCACCAAAAGAAAGCTCCTTCTGTCCCCACAAAATGGAATAAAATTAATTTCAGTACAGCGTTGCATGACGGAATAAATGTCACAGTACTTTAGCGCTAAATACTGAAAAACGGCCTGGCCAGGAAAGGGGTGTAAACACCTGGTTTTCAAGTGGTTAAAAGGCTATTTGTTCAAGGGATAAGCCAGTAGTTCTGCCCCATAACAAAACCCTGGTAGTAGTTTCTCATCTTAAATGCATAGTTCAGTTTTGGTCACCAATCCTCAACAAAGTTGTTATTGAATTGGAAAGCATTCAAAAGTTAACCTATTTAATAAGGGGCCTGGTGGGTCTTCACTATTAGGAAAGAGTAATTATGCATAAATACGTTACACTTATCCCCTCTTGAGAGGCGGTTAAGAGATAATATGGTCACAATATGAATATATCAAGTGACTGTAATAAGTCCCAGAGGAAGACTTGCTCACAATTTGAGGTTGAAAAGGCATTCTTTGCTATTAGAGCTGTGAAAATGTGGAATTCCCTTTCTCATTTATTATTATTATTAT